TAAGTCTCTCTACTGAGCCATCTGAATTATGCTTCACAGTAAATAACCATCTGCATCCAACTGTACGTTTCCCCGGGGGTAGAGAAGTGATTTCCCACGTGTTGTTCTTTTCTAAAGCTCTGATTTCTTCATAAGTAGCTTTCTTCCACTCAGGTATGGCTAAGGCTTCATGAACTGTATTTGGTATGCTTACTTGATCTACTTGAGCAACATAAGCCCGATACTTAGTTGATAAATTCCCATAGTAGACATAATCTTCAATCTGATATGGTTGAATGTTACGAGCAGTTTTCCTCAATGCTATTGGCAGATCTAACTCATCAGTGGCAATATTCTCAGAGCCAGAATTTGAAGCATTATCATTGGTAGGCATATCTGGATCATGATTGTTACTTGGCAGTGGAGTTGAGGTCGATGATTGACAATCCTGAAGTTCAGTCATTAGTGGACTCTGAGGCAAGGAATTGGCATCTGTTTGAACATTTTCTGTTTGAACATTTTCTGGAACATGTGACACAATACTGTTTTGCTGATTTTGTGGATTATGACAAGTATTTTCCCAATTCTGAGATTCAATGCATATATTCTCCCCCTGAATTGATGAATTGGAGTAAAAAGGTTTGTGTTCAAGGAAAGTTACATCCATTGTGTGGAAGAATTTCCTCTGAGATGGTGAATAACACTTATATCCTTTTTGAGAAGGAGAATATCCTAAGAATATGCATTTTAAGGATCTAGGATCCAACTTACTTTGTTCATATAGATGTACAAAAGCAGTGCATCCAAAGAGTTTTGGAGGAATTTGAGTGAGTAATCTTGTTTTTGGAAAGGATTTCAATAACATTTGACATGGTGTTGAGAATTTGAGTACCCTTGATGGCATTCTATTAATGAGATATGCTGCAGTGAGTACAGCTTCTCCCCAGTAGTGTTTAGGAACATGTGATGTGAACATGATTGATCGGGCTACTTCCAAGAGATGGCGATTTTTTCTTTCAGCAATTCCATTTTGCTGAGGGGTTTTGATACATGAACTGGTATGAATAATGCCCTGAGATTTGAAATAATCACCAAGAATAGTATTGAAATATTCACTTCCATTATCAGAGTGAACAATTTGGATATTTGTTTTGAATTGTGTTTGAATCATAACATGGAATTGTTTGAATAGATTGCTAGTTTCAGATTTCTTTTTCATCAAAAAAACCCAACTTAGCCGTGTGTGATCATCTATGAAGAGTAAGTACCATCTTGTATTAGTTACATTAGGTACTCTAGAGGGACCCCAAATATCACTATGAATCATTGAAAAGGGATGAGAGGCTTTGTATGAACTAGGCACATAGGAATTTCTTGTGTGTTTTGATAGTTGACAAACGTCACAATTCATTAACTTGGCACTTTTATTCAAGAACAAGGATGGAAACAATTTTGAAAGATACACAAAATTAGGATGACCTAGTTGATAATGAAGCATCATGATTTCTTTGTCATTATTCATAGAATTTGAACTAAACTTAGATGCCAAGTAAGATGTGGAACATGATGGTGTTTTGAGGAGATATAGTCCTGACTTCACTTCAGCACTGCCAATCATCTTCCCCGAATCCCTGACCTGAAAAACACAAGAATCATCTGTGAATTGGGTGAGGCATTTCAAATCTTTATTCAATTTATGAACTGATAATAGATTGCAGTTCAATTTCGGAACAAAGAATACTGAGTTCAACTGCAAAGTGGGTGAGATTTGAACAGTTCCAATGCCTACAACAGACGATATTGATCCATCTGCTATACTGACCGTTATTTCTTTCTCACATGGAGAATAGGATGAGAAGAGGTTTTTGTTACCAGTCATATGATCAGTGGCTCCAGAATCCACTATCCATGAGGAAGAATGGTTTGATCTGGAGTGAAAGACTAGTGATATGTTACCTCTTTTAATAACTTGAGCACTGCTAGATGGACCAGGATTCTGACCAACTTGCTGAGACTGGCTGATGAGAGTTTGAAGAAGCTCTAGTTGATCCTTGCTGAATAAGGCTGAAGTAACTAAGTTGCCTCGAGGTTCATGATCAGACGAGTTTGAAGTGTTTCTTGGCTTCCAGTCTTGAGGCTTTCCATGGAGTTTCCAACAATTGTCTTGAGTATGCCCTGGTCGATGGCAGTGATCACAGTAAGGCCGTGGTTTGTTGTTATTCCTCCTGTTGGTGAAGACTTTGGCAGCTTGAATTTTGTTTTCACTTGTGGCAGCTAGAGCAGAGACTTCTGAGACATGTGTTGGTATTAGAGCCTCAGCTAGATCAGAGACTTCTGAGACATGTGCAACAGTAGAGTCTCCCATCATAACCTTTCTTCTACTCTCTTCATGGCGTATGGCTGAGAACGCTTCTCTCAGAGAAGGCAGAGGCTTGGTGCTGATTACTCTTCCACGAGCTTCATCAAGTTCTTTATTGAGACCTGATAAAAACTTGAACACCCGCTTGGTTTCTACAATTGATCTGTAGATCTTGGCATCTTCTGGACAATTCCACTTCTGAGTATCGATGAGATCTATTTTCTGCCAATGTCTGGTGAGAGAGCTAAAGAATTGAGTGACTGAGAGTTCACCTTGTTTCAGTTCATGAAGAATACTTTCTGTTTCGAAGACATCAGATGTATTCTCTGAGCTTGAGAATGTAATTTTTGCAGCTTCCCAGATCTCTGCAGCAGTGGCATAGAGTAGGAAATTCTCTCCAATCTCGGGAGTCATGGAATTGACAAGCCAAGACATGACCATGTTGTTGTTTGCCTTCCATGATTTGTATGCAGGATCATCTTCTTTTGGTGCAGCGGCAGTGCCTGTGATGAAATCGTCCTTGCTCTTTCCACAGATGAACATGAGGACAGATTGGGACCATTGTAGATAGTTTTGGCCATTCAGTTTGTGGCTTGTTACTTGCTGAGAGAAAAGATCAGAGTTTGGGATGGAAGTAACAGAGGTTTCGGTGGAAGTGGAAGAAGAGGTGAGGCCATGAATTTGATTTCCATATTTTGTCATAGCTCTGATACCATGTAGAATTAGGAAGCAAAATATGGAGAAAATGGTCTGGCTCTCTCATTGAATTAGGATCGAATATATACAAATATTAAGCATAATAGAAGGCTAATTATGCTGCTACAATCAGGGAAATAAATATACTGCTATAATTAAGGAATCAAACTAGGAAACAAATAACACCTAATAGTCAAGTGAATCAAGGCTAATAATATCCTAATATTACGCATAATTCAACAGGTTTTGGGACCAATACCTGAGCATATGATTAGAAATGCCAAGTAAGTTTTACAGATGATCGGGGGGATCTGGTGCATTTTATTCGCATTCTGGTAGTGCTGCTAACCGATATTAGATTGGTGAACATATGAATGATGAATGTATGTATGTGAATTGATGAATGTTAATATTGTTCGATGTGAATCGATAAATGTAAATGTGAATATTGTTGGATGTGAATCGATGATTGTGAACGTGAATATTGTTGGATGTAAATCGATGATTGTGAACGTGAATATTATTGGATGTGAATACTGTTGAACTGTGAATATTGGTAGCAACATGTATACATTCCCGATTGGGGGGCTAAAAAAGCAATTTTTTTTGGATTACAAACATTGGTGACGGCAAGTCCCATCGCCAATGAACACTGGTGACGGACGTACAGCTGTCGCCAATGTTCATTGTCGACGGGCAAAATCATGTCGCAAATGTTCATTGGCGACGGCGTCGCCAATGAACATTGGTGACGGATTACCCCGTCGTCAATGTTCATTGGCGACAGGATTATTTGTGACGGCCTGTTCCCCGTCGCGAAAGTGCATTGGCGACAGATTTTACTGCATTGGAGACAGATTTCTCCATCGCCAATGCTCTGTTTTCTACTAGTGGTTATTTTATATATTTTATTAATATTATTTTTTAAATTGTTAAGCTATAGATAGTTTCACATAGAATTAGGATATGATATGATTACAATTAGGATATATTAAGATGTATATGAAATATTCAAAATAGTGAAGGATAATATTGACCATGAAAAGATTTTCTGAACTCGTGCTTTTAAAGGGAGTATGATTTAAACTTTAAGGGTGTGATTTTTAATTTTTAAAACTTTAGGAGTGTTTTTTAAAAAAATTACTTTTAATTTTGGCAGTTATAACTTCTATGTTTCATGTGTGTGATTTTTAATTTTTAAAACTTTAGGAGTGTTTTTTAAAAAAAATTACTTTTAATTTTGGCAAATATAACTTCTATGTTTCATGTGTCGGTGATAATTTTTAAATATCAGAATATTTCTTACAACTCTGAAATTTTAAGGGTTCTTTTCATAATAATTAAATAGATTAATTTTTAAAAAACTTAAATATCAGCGGTCTGCAAATAATTTCTAGATTTAATATGTACTTGTCATACGTGAACTATCTATGTATGGACATGAAAATGAAAATGAATTGAGCTAAAACGGAAGAGAAAAACTAATGGGTTTTTGAGGGGGCTCCAGGAATGGGATTAGGGTTCTTCTTTTATTTGTTGTGTCAGGACCGGTCCTGAGCATTTGTGGGCCTTAGGCAAAAACTTGAACAAAAATCCTAAAGGGGCCCTCCTATATTCAAGATTTTTTTTAAATAAAGTGTTGCACCCAAATAACTTTAGGGCTGCTTACATACCAATGGATGTTATAATTAACCCCAAGGATCAAACACAATGTAGTTCTCCTAAGCTACCCACCCTGGTCAAAGGCCTACAAATCACACCCTACCACTCCCATTCCCAAAACAATATCAATGAACCAATAGAAGTAGCACTTTATGAAGCCTCTTCTTGCCTTTTTAGATGCAAAATCATTAATTAAACTTGTATAATCAAGCTTCTCCACTACATTTTTCTCAATTGACAATATAGCTAAGCAATTCAATCTTTCTTATGACATAGTTGATCGAAGGTAAGATTTGATCAATGAACCATCCATGATTTCTCAAAACCTTTGATTAACATGATGAAAGCAGCAGGGTGGGATCTTGACGCAGCAGCTCACACCATTGATCCTTTAGTAGTTTACGCGAAAAGGGCTCGTAAAAAGTACGCCTTTGAGTCTCATATTCGCCAGAAAATGTTCTGTGGGTTTCAAGAAGAAAGCTTTTCGGCCAATACGGGAAACCTCAATGTTTCTTGTGAGAGTTTTTTCCATCAATATCTTGCCGTTAGAGCTATGGATCCATTAGATATACTCAGTCAAAGCCCATATTCCATATTTGGGAAATTTTGCAGGAGCAAGTACCTAATGGTTGTTCATTCGAAAATGGAGAATGCCTTTTTTGGGAATTTGGATCAAAGGAATTATGTGACGAGTGGTGGGCATCCGAGGACTCCATTCTATCAGGCTTTTCTGAAGCTTGCTAAGTCCATTTGGTTATTGCACATGCTTGCTTATTCTTTTGATCCCAAAGTTAGGGTTTTTCAAGTTAAGGGAGGGAGTGAATTCTCAGAGGTTTATATGGAAAGTGTAGTGAAGAACTTAACTTTAGATGAGGAAGAAGAAAAGCCCGGAGTTGGTCTCATGGTGATGCCTGGATTCATGGTCGGTGGAAGTGTGATTCAAGCTCAAGTCTATCTTTCCGGTGTTAAATCTTCTAAATGATGAGAGAGAGATCAATTATTTTGAAAAGTTCAATCTGTTGGTTACCTCTCATTGGGGGCCCCTGTTTTTTTGGGGCCCTAGGCGAAGGCCTCTCCCGCCTACCCATGGGGCCGGCCCTGAGTTGTGTTTTCTAAAAGAGATGACGACTCTTTATATAGAGGCTGCACCCAATCATCTCCACCTCCTCAAAGACCGCCTCAGAAATTTGAGAGAGATATTTCCTCAAATAACGGACTAATCATTATCGTCTCAACAAAGTATTATCTTGTTGAACAATTAGTGGTTGAATTGGTCACTAATTTGAATGGGTCAAATAACATGAATAGTATTATGTGTTGAGATCAATCTTTGTGATTATTGTATAATTAAACTTTTCATGGATTTATAATATATGATCAATTGATATATCATATATGCATAATTTTATATGCAGACCCATATGATAAAGTTCATGGATCCATCCATAAACACATATGTCGAGATTTTGGTCTATAAAAAAGATAATTCACATGTAATAACATATTAGAGTGTATTATTATGACTATTACCTATGTTCATCTTGAATGTTTTATTATAATGAAGGTAATATAGAGTAGGACCAAGATGCCCTTCTAATTTTATAGTTTAACTGGTTCTAATCAGATTCTAGATATGGGTCAAGCCCAAATCTCACTAGACATGAATTAGGATAATATGGCGGGTCTAGCTCATATGGAAGGTGTAATAATCAATTTTTTTTTATGAAAGGAGGCCCAAATCATCTTCAGCTAAAAAAAAGTGTCCAAAAAAAGCCCATTAGCCCATTATCAAACTCCATCTCCTTCCCTTATCCACTCACGGGTATGTTGCAGAGTTTTAGGATCGGAGGAAAAGAAGAGAAAAAAACTCCCTCGACCTCCGCGAATAATCTCCCACATCCAAATCATGAGAAATCCCTATAGTTTCGTTTTGTTACAGTCCCCTTCACAACTAATTAAACTTCCTTATCCTTAGGGATTTCTCCACTCAACCCATTCCTTTAAAACCCAATTCCCTCTTCTCCCCATCTCTGTTCCATACCTACAGAGAAAAAGAAAAATGAAAAAAAAGGAAGGAAAAAACGCAATAGAGAACAAGAAGAAGGAGAGGGACGAGGGTTGAATTTTCTTTTGGATTTGGGTTTCATAGTCTTCTTCCAACTATTTGGTAAGCATTCTTTCCTCAATTATTATTATGATTATTATTATCATTATTTCTGTTTTTTCCTTCATGCCAGTATCCTTTCCTCAATTATTATTTTTATTATTATTCTATTTTTCCTTTCCTGTAAGAATTTTTTTCCCTTGTTTGAGTTTTACTTCATAATTATGTTTATACCTAAGGCCCATGATAAAACCTCTTCTATTGCTATTTACGTTCAAGGCTAAACTTTTTAAATATTTTTGATAATTTATCAACCTTCTATTTAAAAGCATTATTAAATTTTTTTATCTATTTTTGGCTATATACTGTATACAACAATTTTGTTAGTTTTTCCCAAAATCTTAAAACAAGCACACTACTTATCTTAAGAGTATTACACTGTGAAGTTAACCTAACAATTAGTATATAGAGATTAATATCATGGTGTGTAGCATCTGCATGAAATAAAGGCCTTGGAGTCCATGATTAGCTAAGCTTGTTGAGCCTGTAAACAAAATACAAGCTCTTCTATGGTAAAGTGGGCCTTTCACGTGGGCCTTTGGGCAATTGATTCCCTTGCTCCAAGTTGGGTTGGACTTTTATTTATAATTTAGCTATTGTTTCCTTTACTAGTTCAGACTTATAACTTTTTTAGTGAACCAGTGAGTTCATACTTTGGATTTTTTTTGTTATACATAGATCGTGTGGTTGTAATTCATGTTGATCAGTAATGTCATCAAATAGGCTAGACTGTGCATAAAGACGACTTCCAACAAAAATATGATTTATAAGTGTGCTTTCATAGCATGGCTATGCTCTCGATATCGATATCCCGATATGAGATTTTTCTTGACTATTACTATTATAGCATCGACTAGAACATGCACCTCTCTTGATTGGACATATTCTGGGTCACAATTATTTCTCACAATTTTACGGAAGTTGTTCCACGGTAATACTATAGTTAGTGCACAACATTTCATGCATAGTTTCTTAGGTTAAACAAACAAACAAACATGTATATAAACGGGCTTGTGCGCATTTTTGATATCCTGGTTTATATATATATATGAGAAGTAAGGGCCCATCCTGACTTGAAGCCGTGTTCTCTGGATGGTTTACGGGAAACTGATTTATATACATGAAAATATTCTTCTCTAATTTCAAATAACATCTAAAATAATAATAATGTGTTTGTGTGTCTTATGGTTGACCTTGTTGGATATCTATAATTAGCCTTTTCTTTCATCATCTTTAATTGAGTTTTCATTTTTTTTTTCCTTTATATATGTCACCTACACTTACACGCGCACAATTTCCTCATTTTGCATGCTTGTTGGGAGTTTTCTGTCTCCCCTGGGCTTTGCGTGCCCCAGACTCGAGAACCGTTCTTCCTTCGCATGATGGAGAGTATTTCAATGGGCAGACTCATCAGTAGTGATCACCATTCATTCTATTAGTTATCCAGTTCAGTTAATTTAGGTAGTTATTTGGTTTAGGCTTTTTCTTTAGCCACATGTGGCTCTCTGGACTAGGGTGTATTTTCCTTTCTCTTTAGATAAATTGTGGACTTGTCATAGAACTATAAAATTTTTTGATATTTCTTTATCTATATATTCCTTTTATTATCTTGGTTACATGCTCTTTGGTATAGTTTTGTCCTTATATCTGTATACAGGATGATCTATAGGCGTGAATGTGATCGTATGATTGTATTACCAACTGAGTCACGTTCCTAACTATTACATTTTGGAACCGGGATGTGATAAGGTTTTCATTGGTATCAGAGCCAGGTTTAGGAATTGTTGTCTCATCCTGTATACAAGTAGAAACTAAGATTGAGCTAAAAATAGACCATGTATAGAATGAGTTCTTTCCTTTCCAGACATACGTCCTTTGACTCCCATTTCTATGATTCTCAAGTCCTAATCTCGACCAATCTCAATTTCAGGTGATCACTATGACCCCAAAATGTTGACCCCCTACTCTAGTTGTCCCTGAGGGACACCAAGTCGATCAAACTGATCTTGCAGAAGTGATTAGGGACCTGGTAACTCATAATCGCCAGAGAAATGAGCAGCAACAAGTTGTAAGGCCGAGCAATGTGTCCGATTTTCGGAAGCTCAACCCGCAACACTTTGCTAGGACTGAAGGCGAATATGAGGCCGAGATGTGGTTGCAGACCATGGACTGCCTATTGAGGACAGCCAAGATACCAGACGAAGACCAAGAGGATATTGTACAGTTGCAGCTCTTTAATGTAGCGAGGACCTGGTGGGATGCAGAGGAGGAGAAGCTGCCTAAGCCAATTTCATGGGAGATATTCCGAGAGAGTTTCCTAGAGGCATTTTTCCCGAAGACAGCTCGTCTTGAGATGCAGAGGTGGTTTGTTATGCTGAGACAGAAAGCTAGTAATGTAGATGAGTATGCAGCAGAATTTGTCAAGCTCAGCAGGTTTTTCCCATGGATGGTATCGAATGAAGTGGATAAGGGACAAAGGTTCATGCAAGGTCTGAACTTTGAAATCCAGACTCAGATTTATAGTCAGAAGGGAGTTAAGACTTATACGGATGTCCTAGAGGTAGCTCGGAAAGCAGAACAGCTGATTGGGATCATGAACTTGGTGAAAAGAGGGGCAAACAAGCGCCCCGCAGGATAGAACTCAGGAGGTAACCAGCAGAAGCCTCAGATGGGAGGAGCACCAGCCAAGCGCCAACAGACAGGGACTCTGAGACCAGCTCTGCAGTCGACCAGAATGATTTGTCATTTTTGCAGCAAGTCGGGGCACTTGATGAAGGATTGCCAGAGAGCTAACGGGTTGTGCTTAGTATGTGAGGCAGTGGATCATTAGCTCACTGCTTGTCCTAGTAGAGGAGTCTCAGGAGGATATTCAGGTGGATCGATAGTACAAGCAGGCCAGACTAGACAGGGTGGACAACAGTTGAGGCCACCACTTCCCACATAGCAGCAGATGTTTTGAGGACATCAGAGGGGTCAACAATTTCAAGGCCAAAGATAGTGGAGAGGTCCTCATTTTCAGCACCCATATCAGCCACCTTATCAGCAAAGTCACCTAGGGCAATACGGTCAGCAAGCTCAGCAGCTGCAGAGACAAGGTTAGGTTATGACACTTACCACTGAGCAGGCAGATGCATCTGAAGACGTAGTCACAGGTATCATTTTGGTTTATTCAGTCCCTACATTTACCCTATTTGATTTGGGGCATCGCACTGTTTTATATTTGCTCAGTTCATTGCACGACACACCATACCATGTGATAGTCTAGAGGCGAGCTGGAATATCAACACCGGTAGGGGGGTGTTGATGTCTAGTAGGGAGTGTAAGAGATGTCCAGTGGTAATTTGTGGTAGGGAACTATTTGCAGACTTGTTGGTGATTGACACTAACGGGTTCTGTTGATGTCTGATATCACATAGTCGAGGGGGTTGCGGTTCTGGTCTTCACACTGGAGGTGAATAGGGAGAGGATGAGAGATGGGGCTGACTCCTCCTCCGACTTTATGCCTGATCCTTAGACTGGAATTCCTAATCTTTCTGCACAAATAAGAAGAAACCCATGGGAGGGCGGGGCTCATTTCCCATGTGGTACCTCCGATGGTCAAGTCAGCTAGTGAGCTTGAGTGGGGTTTGAGGCAGAGTCCTAAGGCCATTGAGGTCCTTAGAGTGTACTCTTTGAGAGTTATTAGTTCTTTTTAACAAAGGTAAATTTAGAGCTTTTTTGAAGTAGCAACCTTATTTCCCTCCTTTTATAGCTCATCACCTCTGAGAGTTTGACCATTTGGCTTTGACTATGCACACGAGGCGGTTGAGGGGTGAGCAGACAGGCTGCTGAGTCATCCTTCTCCTTCCAGAT